AACTTGGTGTTTGCTTTCTCACAAGTGCAGATATCAAAGAAATATCAGCATAACACATGCTGTTTCAAACTAATTTCTATAAAAGACTGACAAACCCATAAAGAGACAGTTCTGCAAGTAAGAATATTAATCTAACTATCTCAGATTTTTTTAAAGGTACATCATGTTTCTTTTATATAATTGTAGCCATCTGTGGCCTTAAAGAACAGAAAGAGTAACATTTCATACAGTTTGGTTGCAATTCCTGGATAGCGGTTTGGAATGCCTTATTTCAGATTCAGGCACATCACAATGCGAGGATTGTAGGATGACCTCTCCTCACCTCATCTAGAATGTTCCTTGTCTGGATCTCTTCTGCCCATCTTACCTGGTGTCCACAGACTTCATGTCTGCGGGTGTTGACACCTAGAGAAGCCCATAAAAGAACCACCAGAAACGGGGCCTTCTCAGCAGTGGTGCCTTCTACAGGTACATGGAATGCCTTCCCACAGGAAATACACCAGGCACCCTCCCTCTGAAACCTTTTTAAAAGCTCCTGAAAATAGAGCCTTTTAGGGAAGTCTTTGTGGAAGCCCTCCTCAGTTAATGGGACACAAGAGGAGGAGGAGGAGGATGAATGATGAATGATGAATGTTGGAAACTGGTTTTTTGGGGAGGGGTTGTTGCCCACCTTTCTATGTGTGATAACAAGAATGATGAATGATGAATGTTGGAAACTGTTTTTTGGGGGGTTGTTGCCCACCTTTCTATGTGTGATTATAAGTGTTTCCTTATAAGTGTAGTTATAAGTGTTTTCTACATTATAATATATGTTCTTTCCATTTTATTGTTACACCCCCCAGAGTAGCGATTTTAATGGGCAGTATAAAAATGTTATTAATGTAGGAATGAATGAATGAAACAACAACAACAAAATGAAACTTGTCCATGAGAACAAACTTACTGGCTACATTAAAGTAAGTAACAAATGGAGAACATCACAACTGGTCAGTCACAACACAGGGAAGGATCATGACTGAAGGAAAAAACTGGGCATGAACAGTGATCAAGGACAGCTGCACTTTTAAAAATACAAACAAAAAGTTAATACTACAACATTTGGATCTGAACATCCATGTCTCTTTAAGAATCCTTCTCTCTGGCCCCACTGGATAGTACCCCCGTCCTATGAGTTTGGTGTCCTGCCAATGAACTCCAGCCTTTATTCAAATCCACAGGGTGAGTCTCTCAGTAAGAGATGTGTCTCAGTTCTCCCCTTTCTTCATACTCCTCTGGCTAGGAAATGCATTCACTAACTTCCTTCCAGATGCTGTCCCCTTCAAAAGGCAGTTTATTTTTAAAGACTCTTTGTCGCTCCTGTTAACCTATTTGCCTCTCATTCCCCTCACTCCATTCTAGGACTCATTTTTAAAGACTCTTTGGCACTCCTCATTACCTTGCTTCCTCCTGTTAACCTATTCGCCTCTCATTCCCCTCACTCCATTCTAGGAAGTACAATAGTTTCCCATTTGAAATGATTTTCCAGTATAAGTTGGCCATGCTATTCACAAATATGTTGCAATCTAGCTTTATACATGTTTACTGGTAGACAACATAGGTGCTAATTTGATTATTCTATTAATATTGCTATCTTGCATTATTTTTCTGATCCCTTCCATATAATTTCAATAAAATTTCTTACTCTGAATGTAGGATTTGCCTGCTTATGTTGCTCGTCCATTTACAAGCTTGCTCAACTGATTCTACATGATTTGATTCGAGGAAGATAGAAGACTGAGGTTCACCCCTGGATTTTGAGGGCTCAGCTAACAGTTTACCTCCCCTCATATGGGCCACCTGTATGTTTTCCACACTCCCTCTACCCCAAAAGCCTGAGCATAAAAGAAAGCAGTTGCTGAGAAGGGAACGATGTGGCAAAAAGGCTGGTTGTATGTTTTTCCCTGTGAAGAACCATTTTTTGTAATTGTGTGGAAAATCAGGTAATGGACATTGTTAATACTATTTCCTAAAAACAGCACAAAATGAAACAAGAATAATTGCCTGCAGCACAAGTCCCAAACCCATCTACTATGATGACTTCAAGCAACTGTGCAGTCTAGGAATCCACTATCAGCAATTTTACTACATCACTCCATGCAAGAATCGGAGATTGTTCATGACTTTGTGTACCTTGGCTCAACGATCTCTGACACTTTGTCCCTAGATGTTGAGCTGCCAATGCGTTTGCATTGGCAAAGCAGTTACCATGTTCTCAAGACTAACAAAGAGAGTATGGCTTAATAAGAAGCTGACGGCATATACCAAAATACAAGTCTATAGAGCCTGTGTCCTGAGCACACTCCTGTACTGCAGCGAGTCCTGGAC